GCTATGTCTGCGCCAATCAGAAGAGCGCAGGTGAAAACCAGTTTTTTCACCTTTCAACTTTACCACACACGGACTCAAATATTTTCCTGTCCGGCACGAACTTGGTATTTAAAAAAAAAATAAAAAAATTCCCCTAATTATGTGTCCGCCTGTAGATCTTTAAAAATAATACAATTCGTCTTGGTTTAGGGTGTTGCAAGTTGTAACTTAGTAAAGTTTATCTTTCCATAAAATATCTAAAATGTCTATCACCCCAGCACCAGTGATCGACCCCCCCCCCCCCCCACACACACATTAAATCAGGGTTAAAGAAAAACTTTGACCTATCAAAGGTTACCTACATATTTATTGACAGACACCAAGTCCGACCTTGACCTTGAGAAAACTGTTTTGACCGGGTAGATGAGGAAGGTTCCGGGTTGTGGGACGGGAAAACAGGGTGCTGTACCTGCTGACGTCATATTGTGGCTAGTCTGGTGAAGTTGTGGCGGGGATGGGGGGGGGGGGGGTAATGTATGCGTATGTGAGCCTGGGCTAAGTGATGTTGGCGCCATTGTATGTGGGTGGATATTTAATTGGATTAATTGCACTTCCAGCACTGTCCCCACCCCTCCTCCAGAACTGTCCCCACCCCTCCCCCAGCACTGTCCCCACCCCTCCCCTAGCACTGTCCCCACCCCTCCCCCAGCACTGTCCCACCCCTCCCCCAGCACTGTCCCCACCCCTCCCACAGCACTGTCCCCACCCCTCCCACAGCACTGTCCCCACCCCTCCCACAGCACTGTCCCCACCCCTCCCCCAGCACTGTCCCCACCCCTCCCACAGCACTGTCCCCACCCCTCCCCCAGCACTGTCCCCCCCCTCCCCCAGCACTGTCCCCACCCTTCCCCTAGCACTGTCCCCACCCCTCCCCCAGCACTGTCCCCACCCCTCCCCCAGCACTGTCCCCACAGCTCCACCAGTACTCCCCCCCCCCCCCGCCCTCATGAGCACTGTCTACCAATAATATCACCCTAACAACACATGACAATCTGTATCACCAGCGATAACACTGCAGTGGGTGTATACTAATTTGTCACGTGATGTTGACTTAAAAATAGTGCCCTATATTTACATTGATTCGGGTATATATAAACCAGAGGTTAGAGGTCAACTATTTCGTCTCAACAATTAATGTTGACAACTACACTGCCGGCATAGGAAACATGATCACTTTTACAACAATGACAGAAACATGATCACTTTTACAACATTGACAGAAACATGATCACTTTTACAACAATGACAGAAACATTATCTAGTTCACAACATTGACAGAAACGATCACAATGTTGACAGTTATGTTTTCCGTCAGATTTGAGTCATTTCACTTGACTACAAATCTCGTCAAATTTTTGCTCCTATAAAAATCTTCTTAAAAACTCCAAAGATTGCTACAATATAAAATCTTTTAAAAACTCCAAAGATTGCTACAATATAAAATCTTTTAAAAACTCGAAAGATTGCTACCATGTAAAAACTTTTTAAAAGTCAGATCAGTATTGTAGTAAACCAAAAGCCTGTGAATTTCTATACCCCCCCCCCTTCCAGTTTATACCCCTCTCCTACGAGAATGAAACAGAATTAGTAAACATCGAATCCTGGCGTGCTACAGTGTGAAACAGACTCTAGAAGGTCTGTCTGTTGTGGGGATAGAAGCGAGACCCCAGCCTTGACAGATGTCAGGCAGAGGCGTAGCGAACCCTCCCGGCGCCCGGGGCGAACTTTCAATTTGGCGCCCCCCAATTTATATATATATATATATATATATATATATATATATATATATATATATATATATATATATATATATATCCAGGGTAACGAGATCGCAGACCAGCTGGCAAAAATTGGGGGAAAGAAACCACAACCGGAAATTTCGCTACACCCAAAAGAAATAAAAAGAATAATTAAAAACAAACAAACGCAAATGTGGTCTGTCACACACCCTCACTACATTAAAGACGACGGCTATTACAATTTAACACGAAAACAACAATACATAATCTTTCGACTTAGAACAGGCCACAACAGACTAAATCAACATATGCACAAAAAACTGAAGGTTGGGTGTAGCGAAATGTGCCCTTGTGGCAAGGCCCCGGAAAACACGGAGCACGTACTCCAGGAATGTACTCTGTATAGCCAGGCAAGAGGCAGACACTGGCCCCAGCCCACCCCACTCAGGGAAAAATTATATGGGACACCTGACAAACTGGAAACCACAGTCCGGTTTGTCCACGAAGTTGGACTTGTTGTCTGAATCCTCCACCATATTCAAAAATTAAGAACGAAGAAGAAGAAGAAGATATATATATATATATATATATATATATATATATATATATATATATATATATATATATATATATATATATATATATATATATATAAGACTTCACTGGACGCCAAAAAAATTCCTCTTAAGGCATTATCCTTTAAAAATCATGATTAGTAATGTCAGAAAAAATTAAAATTGTAGCGGTGCTAATTCGTTTAGCAGTCTTTTTATGATTCACGATCGGATTTTGTCTGTGTGGACGATACAACTATTAAGAAGGGTTCGGTGATTGCGCATATGAAACTGGTTGGGTTCGGTACTCCAAGAAGTAAAGAACCACTGCTTTAGAGTGTATTTTGTAGAAGGTACAAACTTATTTGGTCTACTTTTGGTCGTGTCTTTAGAACAATTTCAATAATTGTAGGCCTATATTACAATTTTGAATTATCAGTTAAGTTGAACAATGTAATAATCAGTACAATATACTAATTTTCTTCTCTCTTAAAATTTTGGCAAAGAGTGTCGCTTCCCACCCACTCGCTCCGACAGTCTGCTATTTTACTGATCGGAATGCGATACAAGAATCCGTGATATTTATTTCTCTTTAATGCAGTGATCCAGGCAAGATGTAATGCAATCAAGTAAAGGTATCTGATATCTCATGATGAAGTTGAGAGAATCGTAAGAATCGTACAAAGAACTAGTCGCGTTATTACTTATCAAAACTGGGTAGTGAAATCGTACATTAAGTGTTAATACAATTGATTTCTTTTCTAAGTGTTAAAAAAGTTATCTAGTAAGCGATCTAGTATAAGTCCTGCGGTTTTTGTTGGTGAAAAAGCGCCCCCCCCCCCCTCACCATCTTGGATAAAAATAGTAAAAAAAATAAATGTAAACGTCACTAACTGTTTTTTTAATGTTACACAATCGTAAAATACGCTTTAGTTCAATGGGTTTCTTTTCTGAGTAGTATGGGTTATTTATTCCTTAATCCGGTGTTAATTTTTCCGATTTTAGTCTTCGAAAAAGCGCCCCCCCCCCATCTAGGAAAGCTGGAAAGCGGTTTTTCCGATCACTATGTCTTAAGGATATGCGTTTTACGGTTACACAATCAAGGTAGAAAACGGTTAAATCAGTATGCAAGGGTTCTCAGTCGTTAAATTTCTTTACTTTGACTGTTTATAATTCAAAACTGCAGCTTAAAATGAACTTTAATAATTTTTTTCTACCCCTTTTGGTGCCCCCTAGGGTCGGCGCCCGGGGCGGCCGCCCTCCCCGCCCTCCCCTAGCTACGCCTCTGATGTCAGGTGATTGACGGCTGTGTAAGGTCGGGGAACATGTTGCTTCTGGTGTGCGTGTGTGTGTGTGCGGGGGGGGGGGGGGGTTGAGGCTCCAGGTACTTTTTCTTGTCAGGTCAGAAGGCACACATGTTACGTAAGACAATTAATTTCAGCAGACGACAGGTGTGTAGACAAGGATGATTTTAACATATCGGCCATCTTACATGGGTCTACGGGTCATGTGCCCTGTCCCTGGGTCTACGGGTCAATTGTCCTAGGTCCACGGGTCATGTGTCACTTTGTCCACGGGTCATGTGTCCCTGTTTAAGTGGGTCATGAGTCCCCTGGGTCTACGGGTCATGAGTCCCCTGGGTCTACGGGCCATAAGTCCTCGGGTCTACGGGTCATCATTTGCTGGGTCCCGGAGTCGTGGTATTTCGTTAACTGTTGGTCCTACACTTGACTGAACTATGACGCTGATCTTTGACTTACAAGTCATATCTATCTGATTTTAAAGTAGTTTCTATGTCTCTGACTTAGAATTCTTCACTATTTAGCTGAAAAAATCCACACAGAAAATTGTGCTTGTACATTTTGTGTTTAAAAAATCATAAAGAAATAAAGCAACCAATTAAAACACGTTTTTTGAACAAATCCGACATATTAACAGGATTAAAGTTGACAGCATGTCACAACCTGCCCGTGTGATTGACATCCTGCCCCTCCCCTGTCCGTCAGGGTGACGTCATGTACTCTAGTCTGTGTACAATTGGCCTGCGTTAAAAGCGGCCCTAAAGTTGATTGGATTAACTCCCTTACTCTGTTGTGGTGGAGTGAACAGGAAAATGACAATTGTCTCCCGTTACAGTTTATGGATATTTAAATTCGACCCCCCCCCCATTGCCCCCCCCCCCCAATGACAGTTGTCTCACGTCAGGTTATAGTTTTCTAAAATCGAAAATACCCCCCCCCCCCTCCATTAACCTATAAAATGACAAGAAAGAGAATGTGTACCCGGATAGATACTGTCCAGTGTGTGTGTGTGGGGGGGGGGGGGGAAAGCTTAACACCAAACAGATCAAAACACTGGATGTTAAAACCATATCGCCAAAATGGTACACGTTAAAACAAACGTGTTTCAATATTTATATTTATACTACTAGCGTACTCGTCCCGCGCGTTGTTTCGGCCGCAGAAGAAAAACTTACGCAATATTTTAAGAGGATTTCATCACTGCATTACCAATAGTGTATTTTTAGAAACGTGACTTATTTTTCTAAAACTGAGTTATTTAAATGTAAAAAAAGCAGGCTCTATATGTTTTGGATCATGATGTTGGGGAGAGAGTTTGTCCATAAACTTATCACATTTTTCTAGACCTGCTAAAATATTTTCCCCAGTGTGTGGACGTGGACGGGCTGGTGTTGGCTGTCCAGACGGACAACACCACTGGCCTGACTGAGGCGGAGTTCTGGGACGCCTCCACCCTCCTCCTTCATTACGTCACAGAGGTCAAGCAGACGTGCCACAAGCACGTGACTCCCGGCCAGCAGTCCCTGCCACAGGCAACACAACACCTGCTTTCTCTGACGTCCGCCGGCGGCCCTGCAGGTATCACATCGGCAGGTGTCAGCGCCCTCCTGCAGACGTTTCAGGTGAGTTGACGCCATCTTGTTGGAACTTTCAGCAGACGGCAAGAATACTGGGTGATGCTGATTAGGTCATTATTTTTGATTCGATTAATGATTAAATATTGATTTTGTGATTATTAGATTAACTTTTATTTTAATATGGGTGCTATATATTCGAGAAAGTCAGATTTGAATACAAAAGAGTAAAACTGAACAACACGTTGAAAATGTCCTGCCTAAAATAAAACGTTTGCCAAAATGTGCAAGAGATTTCTCGAGTGATCAACGTTTTTACTAAAGAAATAAAAATTCTTTTATGATAAAGTATTTAAAAATTTGGCTTCATTTTCTTCTTTAAGTAATTATGAATATAAACATTTAAAAGTCTCATCGGAAATGTCGGATTCTGGGATGTCTGAACGAAATCACTGCATTAGAAGTAGGTCATGATAGAGTTAATGTAGGTCATGATAGAGTTAAAGTAGGTCGTAATAGAGTTAAAGTAGGTCAGAATGGAGGTAAATTAGGTCTTGATAGAGTTAAAGTAGGTCATAATAGAGTTAATGTAGGTCATGATAGAGTTAAAGTAGGTCGTAATAGAGTTAAAGTAGGTCAGAATGGAGGTAAATTAGGTCTTGATAGAGTTAAAGTAGGTCATAATAGAGTTAATGTAGGTCATGATAGAGTTAAAGTAGGTCGTAATAGAGTTAAAGTAGGTCAGAATGGAGGTAAATTAGGTCTTGATAGAGTTAAAGTAGGTCATAATAGAGTTAATGTAGGTCATGATAGAGTTAAAGTAGGTCGTAATAGAGTTAAAGTAGGTCAGAATGGAGGTAAATTAGGTCTTGATAGAGTTAAAGTAGGTCATAATAGAGTTAAAGTAGGTCATAATAGAGTTAAAGTAGGTCATATTAGAGTCAAAGTAGGTCATACTGGAGTTAAAGTAGGTCATACTGGAGTTAAAGTAGGTCTTAATGGAATTAAAGATTTTCCACAGACAGACAGACAGACATCAGGACAGACATTGTGAGCTAACAATACAGAAAATATTGTTGAGCACAAAAACCCAGAGACTACCCCCCCCCCCCCAAACACACACTAATTATGATGTGACGTCATTAACTAACCGACATTCTCTCCGCAGCATTTGATAGCCGAGGAAGATGACAACCACGCTGCCCACAACCATAGTGACAACCACCACAACCACAGACACAGACGGCACGACCACGACCACAAGGATGACCACAAGGATGACCACGACCAAGATCAAGAGCATGACCACGAGGATGAAGATCTGTCCCCCCTAATTATTCAAGAAAAGGTAAATCTGTCTGACCAGTTGGTCGGTGCTAGAGTCTACAGTCTGGGTCAGGTCATAGCTGTCTGTGTGTGACTCATGTGACTTGTGTCTTGTCAATGTTATCTTAAAGTCATATGACTTGTGTGTCATCATCTTTAAGTTATATGACGAGTGTGTCATCTCTAAGTCATATGACGTGTGTGTCATCTTTAAGTCATATGACGTGTGTGTGTAAGACATTTAAGTCATATGACTTGTGTGTGTCACATTTAAGTCATATGACTTGTGTTGAGTCATGTTGATATCACGTGACTTATGTCTTGCAGTGTATGAGCAGTGATTCGGTGATGTACTACCTCAGGGGAGACGACTCTGGTCACGTGAACAAGTCCAGGCTAGGAGAGTTGTCGGCCCTTGTCTTGTACCTGATCTCACGCGGTATGTTCGTCACACCCATCTTTACATACTGATCTTTATACAGAGAGTTTACACCAGGATCTTTACACCAGGATCTTTACATCAGGATCTTTACACCAGGATCTTTACACCAGGATCTTTACACCAGGATCTTTACACCAGGATCTTTACACCAGGATCTTTACACCAGGATCTTTACCACACAATCTTTACACCAGGATCTTTAAACAAAGCACTATAATATTTAAGTATCATCAAGATCTTAAACATACGCAATTTGCACACTGATCTTTAGACACAAAAGTCATTGGTTCACATAGCACCAAGATCTTTACTCCTTGACTGACGTTAACCTTGACATCTACAGGGTCAGAGGTCAAGGACAAATGTCGTCTGGTGCCCAACAAAAATGAATTCGTCCAACACATTTTTACAGTCTATGGCACGGGAGGCAATTTAACAACTGATGGTAGGTTTTGTTGTGGACAGTAGGTTTTGTTGTGGATGGTAGGTTTTGTTGTGGATGGTAGGTTTTGTTGTGGATGGTAGGTTTTGTTGTGGATGGTAGGTTTTATTGTGGATGGTAGGTTTTGTTGGGGATGGTAGGTTTTGTTGTGGATGGTAGGCTTTGTTGTAGATAGTAGGTTTTGTTGAGGATGGTAGGTTTTATTGTGGATGGTAGGTTTTGTTGGGGATGGTAGGTTTTGTTGTGGATGGTAGGCTTTGTTGTAGATAGTAGGTTTTGTTGAGGATGGTAGGTTTTGTTGTAGATGGTAGGTTTTGTTGTGGATGGTAGGTTTTGTTGTAGATGATAGGTCAATTTGTTGTGGATGGTAGATTTTGTTGTGGATGGTAGGTTTTGTTGTGGATGGTAGGTTTTGTTGTAGATGGTAGGTTTTGTTGTGGATGGTAGGTTTTGTTGTAGGTGGTAGGTTTTGTTGTGGATGGTAGGTTTTGTTGTGGATAGTAGGTTTTGTTGTAGATGGTAGATTTTGTTGTGGATGGTAGGTTTTGTTGGGGATGGTAGGTTTTGTTGTGGATGGTAGGCTTTGTTGTAGATAGTAGGTTTTGTTGTGAATGGTAGGTTTTGTTGTGGATGGTAGGTTTTGTTTTGGATGGGAGGTTTTTTTGTGGATGGTAGGTTTTGTTGTAGTCTAATATGTTTTATTGTAGTCATTGGGGGTTATCTTGAGGTAGCTTTTTGTGATTAGAGAGAATGAAAACTGACCTTGACCTCCCAGGCTTGAAGACCTTGATGGGGAAGTTGAACATTGACCCAAACAGCACGCACGCAGACGAGCACAGTGGTCACGTGCACAGAGAGAGGCGTCACGCCCCAGCTGAGCACCCGGGGGCACGGGACCGCCGCCAGGCTAGTATCTCTCAGGTGAGACCCGACTTTATCAAACGTGGGTTGGTGTCAGGATCCGTCTGTCACGCCCCCATGTCTGTCTGTCCCACCCTCACATCTGTCTATCACGCCCCATATCTTTCTGTCCCACCCCCACGTGTGTTTGGTCACGCCCCATATCTTTCTGTTCCACCCCCAAATCCGTCTGTCACGCCCCCACATCTGTCTGTCTGCAGGAGCTGACCAAGTGCTACACCGCCCACCAGATCGCTGCCCTCTATGAAACAGACCGAGCCATCGACAAGGCCAGCTTCGAGCAGCTGTGCCCAGCTCTGCTCAGTCAACAGCTGTTCGCGGACTGCACAGCTGCAGCCGTGGGGCAGAAGGCGGAGGTCTCTCTGGCAGAAAGTAAGAATATTAGCACCAGGCACCAGCTACTTATGGCTTTAGCACCAGCTACTTATGGCTTTAGCACCAGCTACTTATGGCTTTAGCACCAGCTACTTATGGCTGTAGCAATAGCTAGTTTGGCTGAAGCCCCAGCTAGTTTGGCTGTAGCCCCAGCTAGTCTGGTTGTAGCCCCAGCTAGTTTGGCTGTAGCCCTAGCTAGTCTAGCTGTAGCCCCAGCTAGTTTGGCTGTAGCCCCAGCTAGTTTGGCTGTAGCCCCAGCTAGTTTGGCTGTTGCACAAGCTAGTTCTAGCTAGACAAAAACTGTCCCACCCCTCCCACCACAGATGTAAATTTGATGTTGTTGATAAGGCCACTGTAAATGTGATGTTGATAAACCCACAGTAAATAAGATGTTGATAACTTACTTACTTACTTAATCCTCATCACTCCCTGTGGAGTATAGGGCAGCAACAAATCTCCGCCATTCCACCCTGTCCTGGGCGAGCCACTTTAGTTCATGCCAGGTTTTGCCAGTAGCCTGTACTTCTTCTTCCATCTCCCTCCTCCATGTTCCCAGTGGTCTTCCTCTATTCCTCTTTCCGGGTGGGTTCCACTTCAGCGCCATGTTGGGGAGTCTTTTTTTGCTCATGCGTAGGACATGGCCCAGCCATCTCCATCTCCTCGTTCTAACTTCTGAGACAATGTCGTTTAATCCTGTCCTTCGCCATATTTCCTTGTTCGGGACTTTGTCGTCCCACTTTATCCTGAGGATGCGTTGGAGGGATCTTCTTTCAAAGCCTCTGAGTCGGCTCTCTCCTTTCTTGTTTAGTTTCCATGACTCTGCAGCATAGAGGAGTACAGAACGTACATTTGACTGTTGATAAAGCCACTGTTAATATGAAGTTAATGAAGCCACTGTAAATATCATGCCGTTTCCCCAGAGTACGGCTACGGGAGTGTGGCTATTTTTGTCATCTGTCTGTGCGCCATATTTGGTGTGGTCGTCATCCCCTGCGCTTCCGGTGCCGTGAAGAACGTCATCATGTCCACCTTCGTCGGTCTGGCCGTGGGCACGCTGTTTGCCGACGCCATCTTGCACCTGATACCCATGGCAAGTCACGTGTCTGTCATGTGTGGGGGGAAGTGTGTGGTGTGGGGTGAGCTTTGAGGGGATGTGTGTGGTGAATTGTGTGGTTTGGGCGGCCTTTGTGGTGATGTGTGTGGTGCATTTGGTGTTTGTCATTTATATCATTTTGTGTCATCAAATGAATGTCATTGATTGATTGTTCTGGATTTATTGTCATTGATTGATGATCACTGATTGATTATCAGCGATTAATTGTTATGGATTGATTGTCATGGATTAATTTTCATGAACTTATTTTCATGGATTGATTATCATTGATTGCATGTCATGGATTGATTGTCATGGTATTATTGTCATGGATTGATTATCATTGATTGCATGTCATGGATTGATTGTCATGGTATTATTGTCATGGATTGATTATCATTGATTGCATGTCATGGATTGATTGTCATGGTATTATTGTCATGGATTGATTATCATTGATTGCATGTAATGGATTGATTGTCATGGTATTATTGTCATGGATTGATTGCGATTGTTTCAGGCAATGGGCGCCCACTCTCACGGTCCAGACGAGCACGCAGGTCACCAACATGGCGACCAGATCGTGGTCGAGAAATATGTTTTCTACGGGCTGGGAATCATGGGAGGTAAGAAAGTGGCGGAAGCAGGGGAGGTGTGGCGGGGCGATAGTCCCCCTCACGCATGTATAACCAATGTATATAGTTTAGCTTGTTAATGTTTCTAATGGAACCTGTTTTGTTGTATCTTACCTAGGTCTGTACCTGTTTTACCTGCTGGAGACAATGTGGTCACGGTGTGGCAACCATACGGTAGGTTTTTATTCTGGTGGTCCGCGGGCCCTAGGCGGCCCACGGTTGCAGCCCTACGTTCAACTGTGGTGTTCGTTAAAGATCGTGGCCTTCCTTTCCCAAACGTCCATTACAGTTTCATGTTTCTGAAATTAAGATAATTTTGAAAATATTTTAAACAGGGGAGGGGGTGGGGGGAGACATGTCATTAAATAAGAGACGAAAGCAAATTTAAAAAAAAAATATTGATTTAACGAATTGAATGTTCCCCGTAAAAAAAAAAAGTAAAAAAAAAAAACGCTTGGTGTGAAAATATTCAACGTAAAAGAGTTTCATGTGAAAAAGTTTGCTATGAAAATGGTCCATGTAAAAGTGTGGAACATTTTCTTGTCAAAAATTTCATGAGAACTAAATTGAGCTGACACCGTTTTTATTGCAGCACAGTCATGGAGGAGACGATACGACTGACGCCGACATGCAGATGTATGCCAGTAACTTCACTGTAGGTTTTGTAGGTTTTGTAGGTTTCACAGTAGGTTTTGTAGGTTTCACAGTAGGTTTTGTAGGTTTCATAGTAGGTTTTGTAGGTTTCTTGTCTGTGGATTGGGCAGTCGAAATGCCGAGCTTTTTAGTAAATACTCCATACTTTACCCAGTCTAAATGCCGACCTAGTTTAGTTGACCTAGTTTAGTTGACCTAGTTTAGTTGACCTAGTTTAGTTGAGTCCTATTTAAATGACCACTTCTTCTAATGATTCCTTGTTTTTGTACCTGCAGAAACCTGACCAAGATGAATCCAGCCTGTACACAGGTAGACAGTCAGGTAAGACAGTTCGTCCTTGACATTACACACACTCACTTCTGCTTTAAGAAAGCCAAACGGTCGTCTGCTAGCTGTCCAGTAGTTGGGGAATGTCGCCATCCAGCCTGTCTCAATACAAGGGAAGCAACTTGTTCGTCGCTCGTGAGAGTTAGATCTTAATTATAAATAAATGATGAGTTCTCATCAATGACTCAGTTTTAAACGATACCGTGCAGGAGTTGTACAACACTTCCCCTGTAATACACAGCCTGCAGCGACGTAACCCCTGCATGTTCAGTAGTCTTCGTATATTCACATTCTACCTTTGTTAGTTTGTAGCATGAACCAACCTGTTGTTTAACAGAAATTTGTTTTCTGCAGTTCTTTCCCTTTAGTCTGTTTTTAAAAAAGACACAAAATTTAAGTGAACAATATTTGCATGTGTGTGCAGTGGTTTCTAGATTGAGTTGTGTGGGGTGACGTGTTTGGTGGGTGCTTTAGGGAATTACAATAAACGAAATAATTAAAAAATGAATACATATTTTTAGAAATAAAAAATCTGAGGTGAAACGTTTTAGAGCTGTTAAATAAAACCACTTTATGTAGTTTTTAAGTTAAAACCACTTTTTGTAAAATTCAAGTTAAAACTACTTTTTGTGTGCTGTTAACTAGAACCACTTTTTGTGGTCTGTTAACTAGAACCACTTTTTGTGGTCTGTTAACTAGAACCACTTTTTGTGGGCTGTTAACTAAAACCACTTTTTGTGGGCTGTTAACTAGAACAACTCTTTGTGGTCTGTTAACTAGAACCACTTTTTGTGGGCTGTTAACTAAAACCACTTTTTGTGGGCTGTTAACTAGAACAACTCTTTGTGGGCTGTTAACTAGAACCACTTTTTGTGGGCTGTTAACTATAACCACTTTTTGTGGGCTGTTAACTAAAACCACTTTTTGTGGGCTGTTAACTAGAACCACTTTTTGTGGGCTGTTAACTAGAACCACTTTTTGTGGGCTGTTAACTAAAACCACTTTTTGTGTGCTGTTAACTAAAACCACTTTTAAAAAAATTGTCTTTGTCGCCTGCTGATTCCTACTCTGGAGATTTGGGTTGGTGAGCATGTGAATTATTTACGAGCACGGTATGATGACATGACATTTACCTGCATCGTGGGATGACATGACATTAACCTGCATGGTGTGGTGAGGTGTTAGATGCCTGTTAGCATGTTATATTTTTATTTATTTTCTGATGACATGTCATCTTCCTGTACCTTCTGATGACATATTTTCTACCGGTCAAAGGCGTATGCAGGTTTGGAGGTTAGGGGGAGCGGCGAGTCGATAAAAGGCGCAAAGCTGTAAACCATAGAAAAACATAATGTAACCTTACTTTGAAGTTAGTGTGTCTGTGAATAACGCAAACAGCAGATGTACAGATGGTAAAGTGGGTTGACATTGGGACGTATACTTACGACGAGTAAATACAAATGTTGAAATTTTGACTACATAACATCGGAATTTTAAATTGCAGTTTCTGTTAGGTGGGTCTGTTTGCCGTGTATTAAAAAAAAATATTTTGTGAAACTTATTTTAAATTTTATTTAATTAATCTCCAAAAAAGGCGCCACTATCCTAAAAATGATCGTAGGGGGAGCAGCCGCCCCTGCCCCCACCCCTGCATACGCCATTGCACCTGTAACTAGTGTAACAGTCTGGTGACATGTCATCTACCTGTATTTACCTGTACCTGCATGCCACATATTTCTCCCCACTAAAGGAAGCATGTACGTCATCAATGAAGAGAAGCAGACGATTGTTGGACAAGAGAAGGGCAATCTTATTTCTGGTAAATATTTCTGGGCTAGGTAGGACAATCTTATGTCTGGTAAATATTTCTGGGCTAGGTAGGACAATCTTATTTCTGGTAAATATTTCTGGACTAGGTAGGACAATCTTATTTCTGGTCTAGTTAGAACAATCTTATTTCTGGTAAATATTTCTGGGCTAGGTAGGACAATCTTATTTCTGGTAAATATTTCTGGGCTAGGTAGGGCAATCTTATTTCTGGTAAATATTTATGGGCTAGGTAGGACAATCTTATGTCTGGTAAATATTTCTGGGCTAGGTAGGACAATCTTATGTCTGGTAAATATTTCTGGGCTAGGTAGGACAATCTTATGTCTGGTAAATATTTCTGGGCTAGGTAGGATAATCTTATGTCTGGTAAATATTTCTGGGCTAGGTAGGACAATCTTATGTCTGGTAAATATTTCTGGGCTAGGTAGAACAATCTTATGTCTGGTAAATATTTCTGGGCTAAGAGTGACCGAAGGGCTATTTTATTTCTGGTAAATATTTCTAATCCTTAAAGGTAAAGTAGAGTTTTAAAGCCTACATTGACCTAGTTAGGAGCCCACTCAAGTGACCTGTTGGTGATGGCCCTTGTAATCCCGATGATGTCCGCTAAAAATAGTTCATCAACAGACCTCAAGGGGCCCCACGGATTTTGTCAACCGTGACCTCCTTGTGTTGGATAGTTTGGCCACTCATGGTTGGGTAGGTGAAGTAGAGTTCACATAAAGCCCAGACACTTGAGGGAGTCACGTGACCAGTACAACACAGTCACTTGAAATTATCAGACGGCTTTATGTCAGCTCAGAGATAGGTAAATCGTGCAGACAGGTAAACCCTGCAGACAGGCAAATCATGCAGACAGGTAAATCCTGCAGACAGGTAAATCCTGCAGACAGGTAGATCCTGCAGACAGATATAACTCGCAAACTCAATTCATAGTCCTGATTATTCCCGGGATTCGAACCTATCTATTGTGCCAGTCTATAATTTAACCACACCTTAGGCACATACATGACTAGATTTTCTTACGTTACTTTCTGCTCATCTGTCTGTGGTGGAGGGAGCTCCATATAAGATTGTTTTATTTCCTACCTGCCTATTTTACATGTTCCCACCCTGAAATATTACAGTTTATTTTACCAGAAATATTCTGTCATTTTCCCTAAAACTTTCATATAATGAGAACAACGGTACCTAACTAAGACATTTTCTTCTACCACCCCAGGCATCAAACCCGTCGTCTTCATGATCGTCATAGGGGACGCCATCCACAACTTCGCAGACGGCCTTGCCATTGGCGCGGCCTTCACCGCCAGCGTGTCTGTCGGCATCGCGACCTCTATAGCTGTCTTCTGCCACGAGCTGCCTCACGAACTAGGTCAGTGTCACACTCAGCCGGAAAATTCCGGCATCTTGATCAGAAGGGCTGGTGAAATGTGCACGTATTAAAATTATCCTTTCAGATCCTAAGTAAGATCATGGTATATAGAATATAGATTACCCAACCCTGCGAGAAGTGGTTCGACGGCAACTAACTGTATTGAAGAGGTTTAAATTTATCCAGTACCAATAAACCAATATGTCATTGGTAAAAGAGTATGACTATCTTAAGTACTATCTTTTAACTGTATAAAACATCTATTGATTGAGAGGGGGGAGGGGGATGTTGGGTTAAATTTCCAAGGTAAATGACGGTCTTGGAGTGGTCCAAAGTTTACAATTTTCGAGTCCGGAGACTGGCGTGAAACACGTCCAATTGTGGCTACACTCCAGCTCTAACGCATGTTGCTTCATGTGGTCCCAGCACCATTCCACGCAGGGGAGTCTGGGTTGGGTTAGGTCAGCACGACCTGACCTTTTACCACCCACCTGCAGGTGACTAGAGTTTAAGTTAGGGTCAGCATGAGGTCAGCACGACCTGACCTGGTACCATCCACCCCCCCCCCCCCACAGGTGACTAGTTTAAGTTAGGGTCATCATTAGGTCAGCACGACCTGACCTGGTACCATCCCCCCACAGGTGACTTTGCCGTGCTGCTCCAGTCCGGCCTGAACTTCAAGAAAGCCTTACTGCTCAACTTCCTGTCCGCCCTGACGGCGTTCATTGGCCTGTACGTGGGGCTGGTGGTGTCTACAACAGACGAGGTCAGGAACTGGATCTTCGCGGTCACGGCCGGCATGTTCGTCTACATCGCCCTGGTCGATCTGGTAAGGTGGCTTTTTGGATGGTTTGTTTTGGTGGGTTTTTGGGTGGTTTGTTTTGGTGGCTTTAAGGTGGTTTGTTTTGGTGGGTTTTGGGTGGTTTGTTTTGGTGGGTTTTTTTGGTTCTGTTTTGTGGTTTTGTGGTTTGTTTTGGTGGGTTTTTGGGGTTCTGTTTTGGTGGGGTTTTTTGTGGTTCTGTTTTGGTGGGGTTTTTGTGGTTCTGTTTTGGTAGTTTTTGTGGTTTTGTTTTGGTGGTTTTGTTGTTCTGTTTTGGTGATGTTGTTTTGTTTTTTGTTTGATTTGTTGGGTGTGTTTTGTTGGGATTTTGTTAGAGCTGCTGACATGTTCATCTACATCATCCAAAGCTGGTTTTTGGTGAGTTGTTTGGGATATGAGCATTCTATTCTAATTTGCTAACGTTGATGTATCATTTATCAACATGTCATGTGTTGTCACCCCTGTATCAACATGTTGATGTCTCCAGCTCCCACAGCTGATCAAGACTTCCGGGTCCTTGAACTTTGTCCTCAACAATGTCGGCATCCTGCTGGGTTTCGCCATCATGTTGCTCATCGCAATCTTTGAGGAGCACATCAAAATCTGAGTGGCTGAACTTGACAGTGGAAACTTGACATTGGAAACTTGACAGTGGAAACTTGACATTGGAAACTTGACTTTAGAAACTTGACAACACAACCTAGACACATCAAGATCTGAGTGGCTGAACTTGACATTAAAATCTTGACATTGGAAACTTGACAACCTTTACACATCAAGATCTAAGTGGCTAAACTTGACAGTGGAAACTTGACATTAGAAACTTGACTTTAGAAACTTGACATTAGAAACTTAACATTAGAAATTTTACAACACAACCTAGATACACCAAGATCTGAGTGGCGAAACTTGACATTGGAAACTTGACATTAGAAACTTGACTTTAGAAACTTGACTTTAGAAACTTGACAACCTAGACACATCAAGATCTGATTGGCTAAACTTGACATTAGAAACTTGACATTAGAAACTTGACTTTAGAAACTTGACATTAGAAACTTGACAACCTAGACACATCAAGATCTGAGTGGCTGAACTTGACATTAGAAACTTGACATTAGAAACTTGACAACCTAGACACATCAAGATATGAGTGGCGAAACTTGACATTAGAAACTTGACATTGGAAACTTGACTTTAGAAACTTGACTTTAGAAACTTGACAACACAACCTAGACACATCAAGATCTGAGAGTCAATACGAACATTGTGATACTTGTCAAAAAACGCAGACGAGCGAGGAACTCGCCTTAAAGAAAATTAAGAAAACGAAAGATGATCCCGGTTTTACGAAAACGTTTTGAGATTCATTGCATGGTATTGAAAGATTTAATATTTTTAATTTTATTTTGAAAAATATGTACGTACATTATGTACAATTAAAGTAAATTAAAGGGTAATATTATTGTTTAATATTGTTCTAAAGTATTTTAATGTATTTAAAATTATTCCATTAAAAATGTTTTGTTAATAATAATCACAAATGAATTACGTTTGATTACATTTATTGTCTATAGAAATGTTTTTTTAAAAAAATTAGATTTATTTCAAATAATTTAATAATATTTAAACAATTTTTAATATTTAAAATAATTGACAATGTAATTATGTTTATTTAAAAAAAATGCATTTATTTTCTAGAACTGTTTAAAACTTTAAAGTCCCAAGTTGTGAAACGAAATATTTAAAAATGTCTTTCTGACATTATTTTTGTAGATTACTACTGTTTTCCCGTTTTGTTTTGGTTATTAGTATAACCCAACTCGTGGGTTTTCTAGTTGGCGCTCAATGCTTCAACTCACGGCGTGTTGTGAGACATGTTTTGATCCCATTTAAGTGACTGGCCTCTGTCAAAGGAATGACTGGGTCGGGCGGTGGAGTACGAAGATAGCTCGACTCTACTTTACCTGCCCTGAAAGGGTAGCTTTAATTTTTCTTTCTTCTTAAAATGATTGTTATTCCGTTTTCGTAATTTATTTTTAAACAGTAAAATGTTTGTACATAATACATTTTTGTAAATAAGAATGTACATTTATATTTCCAGATAGTAGAAATAAAGTTTGTTAAAAGAAATATTTTGCCAGCAGTTTCTTATATCAATTGTCTTGTGTAGTGTTGTCGTGTCCTGTTGTTGTGTCCTGTTGTTGTGTCCTGTTGTCGTGTCCTGTTGTCGTGTCGTGCTGTTGTGTCGTGTTGTTGTGTCGTGTCGTGTCGTGTTATGATGTCGTATTGTGTTGTTGTGACCTTACTTCTACTAATCCACCTGATCTTAATTCTACTAATTATACTAATCCACCTTTTGATATGGTAATTAAACCAGCAAGTGACCTAGGCGTTACTAATCCACAACAAACACCTGTATGGTATGTTTCTCACTTAGCACACCCGGTCCCGGTCTAGCACACCTGGTCTAGCACACCTGATCTAGCACACACGTGGGTAGCTTGAGTTAAAAGTACATGGTAAACAGGTGTGTTGGTAGACCGGGACACTAACCGTTTGTGAGTGTGTGTGGTGTGTTGTGTGTGGCTGCATGTTCTGTGTGTGTCACACCCCTGCCACCAACCGCCTCCACCCCCCCCCCCCCCTTTGTTTACAGGTGTCAGAAGTCGCACCCTGGCGTCATTGAACACACGACAGCAGATCCTGTATCTGTTGTTTTCCCAGCGTTCACTGGGGCGTGACGACTTTCACTTTCAGCCACTAACTGGTCGACACGGAAGTTATTCAACCTTGACTGTTGACCTCCCCGGTAGAACGAGGCCAACCGAAGAAGTGAACAGTTAAACACACGTGACTTAGTCTAGGTGTAACCGACACCTCTCTGACTTGAGAGTCACCCATGTGTGACGTCCACGCCGAGGTAGGGATACGGTCGGTACACGTGACTTTTGTTCAGCGGTGCGGTAGGGTCACCATACTGAATGTAAACACCAAAACATTTACACAATAGAGCATACACAAAATGTATGGGATAGAGAACAGATCAGGAAAGGGATAGGGATAATGAAATGGGATAGGGACAGAGAATGTGAAAAGGATATGTTTAAGACAGGGATAGCGATAAAAATAGGAAAGGGGATTAGGATAAAAATAAGGATGGGGATATGAATAGTGACATGAATAATTATAGGGATAATTTTAGGGTAAATGTTTTGTATATTAACACGTTTTTCTTAACTCAGCTTCGCGTTTATTTGTTTGTTTGTTTGTTTGTTGTTAAAATTGACATCGAAAATTAGCCCACTTCTGATTGCTCTAGAGATCTGAAATTTGGCATGCAGGCTATTTTCGCCTAACAATTTCAGATGCAATCATAAAAACTAGCAATTAGAGACCTAAATTAGCTTAATTAAATTACGCCCCAAGGACCCTAAAATTGAGGACATGATTTCTAAAGATACCGACAAGACTGGAGGCCTATTGACACAGTTACTTCGGCCCCTATCGATGTGAGCGCGCTGGCCGTGATCGTATAGTGGTTAGTACTTCGCGTTGTGGCCGCGACAACCCAGGTTTGAATCCTGGTCACGGCATGTAGGCTTAATTAAATTACGCCCCTTCTCTGTTTAAAGCGTATCGGTCGCTCGAGATTTTTAGTCCGTGTATTTAAAAACACTTAGTCAAGTCATACTTAATCAAGTCATTAGATAAAGTAGAAAATAAACTATATAAAAAACTTTTTAAAAACCACGTTTTTCATGTGTAGCAACGGACTAAAAATGAGAAAAAATAAAATACTTAAAAAAACTTTTTAAAAAACCACGTTTTTCTTGTGGACTAAAAAGTAGAAAATAAATTTTTCTTCCGACCCTAGGGGATCTACCAATGACTGCTCGTAGATTTTGTTCATACATTTGATGACAAAAAACGTGGGTCGGGCAGATGGGTCGGGAAATTTGATGGTGAACGTACCCACGTTTTTTGTCATCAAACGAACGCACTTTGTTCAAAGTAATACATTTGGTATAACAACCGAGACACGACGGCTAAACAATATAACAACCGCAGCACGTGACAATATAACCACCACGTGACAATATAACCACCGCAACACGTGACTATATAAACACCGCAACACGTCGGCTAAATAATATAACAACGGCTAAACAAATTGCTCAAAACTTGAATCGATGATGCCAGAAGTTGAAAATCATGTTGGAATAAAATACTTAAAAAAAACTTTTTAAAAAACCACGTTTTTCTTGTGGACTAAAAAGTAGAAAATAAATTTTTCTTTTGTGCTTCCTCGAGCTGTGCAGGTTCTTATGATGACTGACAAAAAACGTGGGTACGTTCACCATCAAATTTCCCGACCCATCTGCCCGACCCACGTTTTTTGTCAGTCATCACAAGAACCTGCACAGCTCGAGGAAGCACAAAAGAAAAATTTATTTTCTACTTTTTAGTCCACAAGAAAAACGTATTTTTTAAAAAAGTTTTTTTTAAGTATTTTATTTTCTCCTTTTTAGTCCGTTGCTACACATGAAAAACGTGGTTTTTTAAAAAGTTTTTTATATAGTTTATTTTCTACTTTATCTAATGACTTGATTAAGTATGAATTGACTAAGTGTTTATAAATACACGGACTAAAAATATTGAGCGACCAGGATTCGAACCTGGGTTGTCGCGGCCACAACGCGATGTACTAACCACTATACGATCACGGCCAGCGCGCTCACATCGATTGGGGCAGAAGTAACTGTGTCAATAGGCCTCCAGTCTTGTCGGTATCTTTAGAAATCATGTCCTCAATTTTATGGTCCTTGGGGCGTAATTAAATTAAGCTAATTACGGTCTCTAATTGCTAGTTTTTATGATTGCATCTGAAATTGTTAGGCGAAAGTAGCCTGTATGCCAAATTTCAGATCTCTAGAGCAATCAGAAGTGGGCTAATTTTCGATGTCAATTTTAACAACAAACAAATCCATCCACAAACGCGAAGCTGAGTTAAGAAAAACGTGTTAATAAAATACTTAAAAAAAACTTTTTAAAAAACCACGTTTTTCTTGTGGACTAAAAAGTAGAAAATAACTATTTACATACATTTGATGACAAAAAACGTGGGTACGTTCACCATCAAATTTCCCGACCCATCTGCCCGACCCACGTTTTTTGTCATCAAATGTATGTAAATAGTTATTTTCTACTTTTTAGTCCACAAGAAAAACGTGGTTTTTTAAAAAGTTTTTTTTAAGTATTTTATTTTCTCCTTTTTAGTCCGTTGCTACACATGAAAAACGTGGTTTTTAAAAAAGTTTTTTATATAGTTTATTTTCTACTTTATCTAATGACTTGATTAAGTATGAATTGACTAAGTGTTTATAAATACACGGACTAAAAAAATCTTGAGCGACCAGGATTCGAACCTGGGTTGTCGCGGCCACAACGCGAAGTACTAACCACTATATGATCACGGCCAGCGCGCTCACATCGATTGGGGCCGAAGTAACTGTGTCAATAGGCCTCTAGTCTTGTCGGTATCTTTAGAAATCATGTCCTCAATTTTATGGTCCTTTGGGCGTAATTAAATTAAGCTAATTACGGTCTCTAATTGCTAGTTTTTATGATTGCATCTGAAATTGTTAGGCGAAAGTAGCCTACATGCCAAATTTCAGATCTATAGAGCAATCAGAAGTGGGCTAATTTTCGATGTCAATTTTAACAACAAACACATCCACGCGAAGCTGAGTTAATAAAAACGTGTTAAAAAACATGTTCTGTCTACTTGCACTCGATAAACATCACTAAGGTTCACCTTTCAGTCTAATGTTATAAAAGAAGAATGCTTTTTTTAAAAAAAAACAGTAATTTCTCAATTTTCAAAAAAAAAAGGTAAATTAAAAAATATATCTTTAATTAACAAATGTTTATTATGTGTAGAATTTTGTTATTATCAAAAGGTGACATTAAAATTTATTATTACAAACGAACCTTCGGCAATTGTCCGTTCGGGCGTTAATCGCATTTGGACAAGCGTCTTTCGACAAAACGTCCGGCTTCCTATATATATATATATATATATATATATATATATATATATATATATATATATATATATATATATATATATATATATATATATATCTATAATATAAGCGGGCTGAGCGTGTGTCAGTCCTTCCTTCCTTCTGTCATCGCTATAGCTTTTGGAACCATAAAAGTAAACATTCGCACCATGCTGTGCTTTTCAGTGCACCGCAGTGTCTTATTATAAGTATTAGAGTAGGGTTTGTTTATATAACGGCATAGAGCAATTTTATAAATGACACTGTGTTTACGTTTTTGCATAACGTTATGAAAATATTAAATATTCGCACATTGCTAAAACATATTAAAAAGATCAACGTCAAATATCATTTTAGTTTATATTCCTAGAAAAAATGGATACATTTCCATAATAGTAGGTAGAAAAAACTAATTAATTCAACTTATTTTTGTGGTAATTTTTTTCAAGGGAGGTAATTTGAAAATATATTTAACTCAACAATAATTTAAGTTAATCTTTTTTGTATTACTACCGCATTGATTAGTATATGTTAATGTTCATAATTAAAAGAGAAAAATGTTAAGATTATTTATATTATTTTCTAATTAGTCTATGATTTCTCAAAATCACTATTTTTTGTTTTTGTTTTTTGGTGTTAACAGATGGTGAAATTTTATAATTATAGTATAGAGAATGCTGGAAAGACTCTCTCTAGGCGCGGACGCCTGGGAAAAGCGTGTTTTTCGGTGGTAATTCTAATTACATTGCCAATGTGTTTTCTTAGAACCATAAAAGTAAACACCACTTGCCTTACATTCATTTGCATCGCATTGTTTTATTGTAAGTTATGGAGTAGGATCTATTTATGTGACTTAAATTTTTAATGTTGGAAAGGCTCTCCTTGGGCGCGGACGCCTAAAAAAGCGTGTTGTTTGGTGGTGATTCTAATGTTATGGTTGTGTTGTTTTTTTTTTGGTTGAGTTGTGGTTGTGTTGTGGTTGTTTTTTGGTTGTGTTGCGGTTGTTTTTTTGGTTGTGTTGTGGTTGTGTTGTGGTTGTGTTGTGGTTGATTTTTGGTTGTGTTGTGGTTGTGTTGTGGTTGATTTTTGGTTGTGGTGTGGTTGTGTTGTGGCTGTGTTGTGGTTGTGTTTTTGTTGTGGTTGTGTTGTAGTTGTGGTTGTGGTTGTGTTGTGGTTGTGTTTTGTTTGTGGTTGTGTTGTGGTTGTGTTGTGGTTGTGTTGTGGTTGTGTTGTTGTTGTGTTGTGGTTGTGTTGTGGTTGTGTTGTGGTTGTGTTGTGGTTGTGTTGTGGCTGTGTTGTGGTTGTGTTGTGGCTGTGTTTTGGTTGTGTTGAAGTTGTGGTTGTGTTGTGGTTGTGTTGAAGTTGTGGTTGTGTTGAAGTTGTGGTTGTGTTGTGGTTGTGTTGTAGTTTTGTTGTGGTTGTGTTGTGGTTGTGTTGTGGTTGTGTTGTGGTTGTGTTGTGGTTGTGTTGTGGTTGTGTTGTGGTTGTGTTGTGGTTGTGTTGCGGTTGTGTTGTGGTTGTGTTGTGTTTGTGGTTGTGTTTTTTGTGTTTGTGTTGTTTTTGTTTGTTTTGTTCTGTTCCAAAGTTGGTACATTTAAAAAAGATTTACCGTGGCGGAGCACGGGATGCAGCTAGTATATATATATTCTCGCAAACGAGAACACCAAAGGGCAAACTTTTCAAGTATTGGTGATCTGTTACATAAGTAAGGGATTTGGTGAGCCGCTGTACCACCATCATGGTGTTGGTACAATGGTGCTGAACATGAACGTCGTTTGTCTTGGGCTATTGTTGATCTATGGAAGAAACACTTGGTGTACTCTATAGATTGACCAGATTAGTCCCGCCACTAATGCAAAAAGTACACGGGCGAAAAGTTAAGCCCCGCCACTACTGACCTATTTCTGATGTCCAGACATTTGAATATTGAAACGCACGTCAAAAAAAAAAAAAACCAACGTGTCCACGTTTAGGTTTGGTGTTGGGGTTAGGGTTGGGTTTAGGTTAGGGTTGGTGTTGGGGTTAGGGTTGGTGTTGGAGTTAGGGTTGGTATTAGGGTTAGGGTTAGGGTTGGGGTTAGAGTTGGGGTTAGAGTTGGGGTTAGAGTTGGGGTTAGAGTTGGTGTTAGGGTTGGTGTTGGGGTTAGGGTTGGGGTTAGAGTTGGTGTTAGGGTTGGAGTTAAAAGTACCAAAAACGCTGAATTTTTCACGCAATTTATTAATGACATGTACAAATGTCGCCCTCTTCAATAAAATCTAAAAATCTAAAATTACAAAATAATACCCTCTTTTTTTAAAAAAATCTTTGTTGGAGGCAGTAGCGTAGGCAGGGTTGTTAGTGGGGGTGGGGGAGTCATAACCCCCCCCCCCCCCCCCCCGCTAGACTCCTCGGTATATATATAAAGTTAAAAATCGAAAAGTTTGAGAGGGGGGGGGGGGTGCAAATCGAAAGTTTGAGGGGGGTGCAAATCGAAAGTGTGAGGAGGGGGGGTGCAAATCGAAAGTTTGTCCACGGGTTATATACTGCTGGAAAATAATTTGAACCCCCCCCCCCCCCCCCCCACGAGACGATCCTGGCTACGCTACTGGTTAGAGGGGTTATCTGTTTTGCGGGACGTATCTTGACAAGATCCACAAACTCCATTGTTGTTATTTTAGTTTTAGAGTTAGCAAGGATACGACTAATTATTTTTTAAAAAGTTTTTATAAGCATATTCACAACATTATTCACAACATCAACTAAACACGTCACCAATCATACGTAGGGCTAACGATATCATAGAAAAATTGTGCGAGTTTACGACCACTAAGTTATTTAAGTAGGCCACCAACTAGATCTAGTCTAGTAGTTGAACCTCTGATAGCGGCGCGCGCTGGTCACAATGAGGCTCGTGACGCGGAACTGCTGTGTAGGACGCCGCCATCTTGCCTTTCACCTTGCACACGAGTCTAGCCGTTGCACACGACACGACAGCGGTTTTCATCAAATCAACGTTCGTCCGTTAATTAGCGCTCAATAATATTTTTTTTTAAAACAACCGAAAGCTTTATTCGTAAACAATAAAATAATTGAACGTGATAAAATGTTTAAAAACAATTTAATTTTGGATTTAATGATTTTTGGATTATTGAATGTAGGCCATTCAAGTGATACGGTCTTAAAATTTAAAAATTACCGTTTGAATGTTTTTGATGCTGTTTTGGAAAATGAAGATTCAACAAATAGGACGCATCTTTCAGTGAAAGGGTTTGAAAAGTTTTTTTCGTCTTTGGTGAAACGACTTGTGTGCAAAGATAACGTGTCAGCCATTGTAACTTGCAATGGGCCTTTGGTAAGTTTTTTAAAATAATTTTTTAAAATAATACTTTTTAAGCTGCAGACTTAAAAAAAATTGCAACTATCCATTTTTGGTCTAAACATGTTTTAGTAAGAGAGGCGGAGTTATAAAACCGCAACAGCTAAGACATAACTAATTATTAAGCCCCTAAAATATTATAAGACTTTGTAGTGTAGTGACTTGACGCTTCTACTACGTGACAGTTTGTGTCAGAAATGGCATGCGCAGAAGGTCTGCTGACGCCAGCCATGGCAGTGGACGGGGTACAACTGGGCATATCTGATATGGGGGTGGGGGTGGGCCTCTCTGTTAATGGCTGAAGGGGTGGTACCATAAAGAAACATATATATATATATATATATATATATATATATATATATATATATATATATATATATATATATATATATATATATATATATATATATATATACCGTTTTAGGAAAGTGGTATACACTTTGAGATTTAGCAACAGGTGTTATAAAGAAAAACACCGCCATTTAAAATTCGCGTTTTAAAATTATCAATCTTACTTAACTTTCTTAATCAAATGGGAGCACTTTGATGGTTTCTGTTTAGTTTTATTTACCTGTAAATTGTTTACCAACGCCCCCCCCCCCCCCCTTACTCCACTGACCCAGAGCTCTATGTACTACAAGAAAAGTGTGAATATTTTTACCTTTGTTAGCACCACTAACTGTCACGTGATCATAATGTCACGTGATCACCTGCAGACAGTTCACGGTTGGTATGTTAGTAGCACATCATAACCCGAAATTTAGCGAGAACAAAAACCAAATCTCACATTTAGAGAATGTGAAAGTCAGCAACTTCTTTAGGTATCAATTTGACAAAGTGGGCGGGTGGTTAGAGAGGGTTGGGGGGGGGGGGTTAAGTATGGCTACTTTGAACACACAAATAAACATATTTTCAAGACTTTTTGGTGATAACTTAACATATTGCAAAATTACAGACCGTGAGGTCAAGGTCACATCTAACTGAAGGTCGTCCTGGGTTAAATCTCCGCCATCAGTTGACATGTCAAAAATCTGGCTCTAGTGAAAGCCTACCTGCATTTTTAAATTGTTTGTGTTTTCAAATATTGACGCGCTTCACGGTCTGGCTGTGACAGTTGGACACGCCACAGCCAGCGATAACATCAGTTGACTGTTATCTGTGGAACATATACCTGCATTATACCTGCCAGTTACCTGTGGCATATCTGTAGCACATATACCTGAATTATACCTGCCAGTTACCTGTGGCATATCTCTAGCACATAATTATACCTGCCAGTAACCTGTGGCATATCTGTAGCACATATACCTGAATTATACCTGCCAGTTACCTATGGCATATCTGTAGCACATAATTATACCTGCCAGTTACCTGTGGCATATCTGTAGCACATATACCTGCATTATACCTGCCAGTTACCTGTGGCATTTCTGTAGCACATATACCTGCATTATACCCGCCAGTTACCTGTGGCATATCTGTAGCACATATACCTGCATTATACCTGCCAGTTACCTGTGGCATATCTCTAGCACATAATTATACCTGCCAGTTACCTGTGGCATAAATGTAGCACATATACCTGAATTATACCCGCCAGTTACCTGTGGCATATCTGTAGCACATATACCTGCATTATACCCGCCAGTTACCTGTGGCATATCTGTAGCACATAATTATACCTGCCAGTTACCTGTAGCATATCTGTAGCACATATACCTGCCAGTTACCTGTGGCATATCTGTAGCACATAATTATACCTGCCAGTTACCTGTGGCATATCTGTAGCACATATACCTGCATTATACCTGCGTCTACTGTGTCACTCAAGTGTCCAGTCTACTTGTTGTTTAAAATGTCCAGTCACCATTCATGCCCCTCTGTGGAACTTATCACTCAAAAGTTTACCCCGCCCCCCCCCCCTTCCACACACATACAACGCGGTATGTCACACCACCTACTGATTTGTATTTTTTATATTTTAACTCGCCACAGGTGTGTTGTTTAACATCTCTACTCCACAAAAAGTTGTATGATCATTGTTGAGACTTTTACTCGATAAAATTTTTTGTAACGTGACAACTCAGAGCAGAGGCGTAGCGACCTATTACTGGGGGGGGGGGGGGGGGGGGGGTTCGTTGACGAATTGTCTATCGAGCGTACGCTACTTCTGGAGCAGAAAGGAATTAAAAAAAATAGAAAATCAGAAGTTTATAAGATAGTTTCCAGAAGTATCACATTAATTTGGTCCATTTTCGTTACGTCTTTTGAACAATCTCAAAAATAGACTATTACAATTTCTGATGATCTATAGCAGACGAAGATCAAAACAGTAGAAGTGTTGTAACGCCTTAGGGGTCGTCCATAAATGACGTCACACTCGTAGGGGGGAGGGGAGGTCCGTAATTTTGTTTAGCCGTAATTTTTCGTTTTAGAAAACGGTTTTAATAAATTGTAATAGGAATTGATCAAAATACTCTATGTTGACAGAGTTCTGACAAGCTTTTGGGAAAATATCTATGTTTTAAGAAAAATTCAACTGCAATTTTGAGGGGGGGGGGGGGGGGGTTGAAGGCTGAGGTGTGACGTCATTTTAAGGGGGGGGGGGGTCTGGCTTTTTGTGACGTGTGACGGAAGGGAGGGGGAGGTAAAAATCGTCAAAAAAGCGTGACGTCATTTATGGATGACCCCTTAAGTGTACCTTAAGTGAATGAGAATGATATGAGTTAAATGGTGATATAAACAATCAAACCTATTCAGTACAATTTACTTTTTATAGTACAAAAACATTTCTATCGATAATTTCAGATAAAGAAATTCTGGTCAAAATGTTCGTACATTTTTACAATTTCGACCCAACTGTATCATCGTTCACCCATCCAAACCTACGCCATTTGATTGGTCAGGTTGCCACATATGATTATGTGGCATTTATTTTCCTTATATTTATCCAGGCAAGATGTATTGCAATCAAGTAAAAGTCTCTGATCTCTCTTGTTGAAGTTGACAGAAACGTCAAATGTAACTAGAAAGGCTAGTCGCGTAAGAGGCGTAGCGACGGGGGGGGGGGGGTACATATGTCCCCGGGCGCCGACCCCAGGGGCTCATTTTAGTAGTATATTAGGTCCCTTTTGGAGCGAATGGGTGAGGGGGATGCGGATGCGGATGCGGATGCGGAACAAAGGCTATATAGGAAAATACTCCCCCAGCCTGGTACAATGACATATAGCAAAATACTCACCCACCTGGGTAAGTGGGTGAGCAGCCTGGTACAACGAGATATAGTAAAATACTCCCTGGGGGAGGTGGAGGTACATCCTCATATAGTAAAATACTCACCCAACTGGGTGAGGGTGGGTGAGGGTGGGTGAGCAGCCTGGTACAATGAGATATAGTAAAATACTCACCCACCTGGGTGAGGGTGGGTGAGGGTGGGTGAACAGCCTGGTACAACGAGATATAGTAAAATACTCACCCACCCTAGGGTGGGGGATGCGGAGTAGGTCAGTAGGTCACCACCGGTGACCTTGTGACGTAATCAGTGACCTTGTGACGTAATCATTGACCTAGTTACGTAATCAGTGACCTAGTTACGTAATTTTAAAATGTTTATTGAGTAGTTACGTGATTGGATTTTAATTTTTTAAATTTTTAAATTTTTTTAAAATTTTTAAATTTTGTAATTTTAATTATTTTAATTAGTTTAATTATTATTAACTTATTTTAATTAGTTTAATTATTATTAACGAGTTACGTAATTGGAGTTTAATTTTTTTTTTTTTTAATTTTTAAATTTTTTAAATTATTATTTTTTAATTTTAAATTTTATATTTGTTTATTTGTTTACTTGTTGTTTAATTTAATTACTTTGTTTATTTTGTTTTGTAATTTTTATTGACGAGTTACGTAATTGGATTATTTGTTTGATTTTTAATTAATTTGATTTTAATTACTTTGTTTGTGTTTTGTCTGTTTATTTTTAATAAGTTTAATTAATTTGATTTTTATTTAAATTTTTAATTTTTTAAAATTTTATTTTATAATTAGTAATTATTTTAATTTGATTATTAGTTTGAAATTCATTTTATTTCTTTGATTTCAATTACTTTGTTTAATTTATTTATTTGATATATTTCTTTTCTTTGTTGTTTAATTTGTTGGTTTGTTTATTTTGTTGTATGTATGTTTTAAATTCTCCCCTACAACGACCGTGTACAAAAAACAGGTTAAATTCTCCACCACAACGAACGTTACAAACATAGAACATTCATTAAAGATAACGATTAACAACACCTGTTACTCGCTAATGGCACCCGGCACGTATCGATTCACCAGCGATCCTTTGTTCTTATCAAGCACCGTACAAGGGTCAAGTTCATATCGATCGCACCCACTGACCATCAGACCTAATTAATTTGGTCACGCCTCGTGGGTTTATGTGTTGTTCACTAAAGCGAACACAGCAGGGGGTATGGTAATTAACGCGAAGCCAGCGTTAAGTGTGGGAACACCTGTTACCACGTTAATGGGTTTTACCACTCGGGTTGACGGCTCATAATGATTAACGACGTACATTAAGTGGCTTTCCGCGAAGTACGTAGGTCATTATGCAACAGCTGTTGTGCGACAGCTGTTGCTGTAATTAGGCTGAGCAAACGTATAAATGACTGCGAAAATTGTGTTCTAAACACTTCAACTTCGGACTTCAAACCAATCATCACCGCGACTTATCCTGCCTGCGACCTCCGTTGACTCCAGAGACTAACCCACGCCAGCTTAGGACTCAACCAATACGTCCACCTAACCCTCCACGGGCCACATCTTTTGTGCGTGTTTATTCGATTAAAGGTAAGCTTAATAGTACGTATTGTTTTATGGGAGCTAACCATATTAAAATACCCTTTAATTATTTTCTAAATAAGTAGTCACATGTATTAACTTTAATTTTGTATCGTACACCTGGGTAAGTTTAATAT